TGTGTGTGTGTGTGTGTGTGTGTGTGTGTTGGGGTAGTGTATGATTGTATGTGCACACTTGTCTGGAGGGTGCATGCATATACTTGTTAAAGCCAGAATTTGAAGTTAGGTGTTTTCTTCAATCATTCTTCATCTGATTTTTTGAGCTGGTCTCTCACTGAACACGCAGTTTACCAATTCAGTTAGGATGGCTAGCCAATAAGCTCCAGAGATCCACCTGTTTCCATCCTCCCAGCATTGAGATTACAGAGACATGCATATTTTTTGTGAGTTCTAGGGATCCAAACTCAGGCCTTCATGCTTACGTAGAAAGCACTCTACTGACCCAGCCGTCTCCCCAGCGCTGCACGAGTGCTTTCATTCATTTAGATCCTCTTACATGGACTAGTCTCTGTTTGTGCTTTGGCCATTAAAACTTCATTGAGAAATCCTCTGAGATCTCATGAAACTGTTTCCTTAGCTGATCCCATCTTCTCTAAGTTACACCAGCCTTTTTCATAGCAGTTTACCTTCTGGTCTTAGACTCCCCTTTCATCTCTTGACTCCAATGTGACATCTGTACCAGCGTAGCTGGAATGTGGATGCTTGAAGGTAGGTGGCCATCCTTACCTCACTCCTCTGTCCTCAGGCAGTAACACTCAACATCATGGAATGTGGTGTGGTTAAGGGCTCTGCATTCCTTAAGGTGATACTTCACCTATGCTCTAACCATGCAATTTGGGGCAAATTGCTTAATTTTTTTAAAACTGGAATTTCAACTGTAAAATGGGGATAACAATACCACCAACCTCCTAGAATTATGGGAAGACTGGATGAAATAATTCATGAGAGCTTAGACAGTCCCTGGAGCCAGGGAACTCTCAGAAAATGGCAGCTGACGTTGCTCCTGCTTCACACGTGTTCACTGACTATTAATGCATCATTTTGAATCATCTACCGTGTCCAGAGGGCAAAATACTTAAGAAGTCCTATATTTTCTATCTGCAGTTCCATGTAATTGCTTTTTCCCCTTTGGGGAATCTGTGCTTCCTCATCTATTCTCTCTTCTGTCATACTTTCCATGTCTTGAACTTTAAAATGGGAGTTTTACAGTCCAGTATTCTAAGGAACTGAAAGCTTTGTTCACTCATCTCATCATCAATCAAATGGAGCTCATTTATTTCACTGATTCTTTAAAGGAAGATTTATATTATTAATTTGAAGTTATTCCATGAAACCTTGTATTATATATCACTAAATACCCTGGGAAATAGCTGAACCATTCAGATGAATACATATTTGGCATAATAAATAAAGAAAGAGATTTTATAAAGAGAATCTTTACACTCAGAAGCCCATAAATTTTTTGTGTTCATCTTCCAGCCTTTACTTCCCTCATCAACCTCAGTCTCAAAATGGCACTGTTATTATTATTAGTTAAATTTCTTGGATGGAGGAAACCTTATTTCATTATGTGCATAGTTTTTAAAGTCATTTGACAATATTTTAATTTTCTATCATATTAAATTGATATCTGGCATTTTGATGGCAAAAATCCTAGTTATTAGACATTTAAGTGTCTACTTAGCCTACTGCCATGAAAAAAACAATCTTAGTAATTTGATATGTGTCTTCAATTGCCCATGATATCCATACAAGAGTTTGGACTCTCATCCCAGCATTAGTATTAAAACTATACCTTATTTAGCTTTCAGAAGCTCCTAGTTTGAACGATAAATCATATTGCCTACCATAACGACCATGGAATATTGAAAACTTTGGCTTTAATGCTCCATATTTTTTTAATATTTATTTTAAGTTTTTTATCATGTATGTTTGTGTGGGATAGGGGTGGGGGGAATATGCATGTGAGTGCAGTGCCTTTGAAGGCAGAGGCTTTGAATTTCCCTGGAGCTAGAGTTACAAGTAGTTGTAAGGCACTCCGAGTCCTGAGAACCAAAATTGGGTCCTCTGCAGGAGCAGTTAGTTAAGTGCTCTTAATTGCTGAGCCACCTCTCAGGCCCCAGTGCTCCATATTTTGCCTTTGTCGTTATCACTTGACTTCTAGTAAGTCATTTATACAGCTCAGTCAGCATCTGTTCCTTCTTATTTTTGCCACATAATGGCAACTCAATGGACAGTAAAGCACACATATCTTAAATCCTGGGGTAGAGGAGACAAATGGATTAAATAATTACATATTGAAACTAGCAGAGCTTTTTGGTAGAAGATACCCTGGCACCCTATAGAATCCAGTGAATGAGACCCATAGGCAATAGAAACACACTTGAATTGCTCTTTGACCCCAATTTACATGGATGCCACATACAGAATGTCTGGAATTTTCCAAAATGCCACTGCTTGATTTCCATTTGTTTGCTATGTAAGAAGACATTTTAGCACAAAGAGGCCTTCAGAAAGTGCACACTAAGTAAAAAACTGTGGGCCTGTAAAGTGCAAGGAACAGGAGGCTAATCTCTCCTTTCTGGTTTAAGTGGCACAAAGTTAATGACAGCAATGAAGAAGGAGGGAGGGAAGGGCAGAAAATCATCATTTTCTATGAGTAAGCTCCTGCAGGGTGAAAACTGTGTAGGTTTGGGAAGAATTTCTCTCCTGAATTCCTCTTGGAATATAGCTCAAAGCCCAAGGCAGAAGTGTTCAAAGAATGTTGATTTCTGATGATGGAGAGAATGAAGCCTAAAAGATGCATGCTTAAATTCAAAGCAAAGAGAAACAGGTGTTCTGAGGCCATGCTGGCTTCTCTAGCATCTGTCTCCTTTTTGATGTCAACAAAGTCAGCAATTGGGAGGGAGATGAGTGAGTGTGAAGGTTCCAAGAGAGACTCTGTTGTCGCAGACATGAGGCGCCTCTCCTCCAAAAGAGTTGTGAAGAACCAGAAAGTCTTCCCTTCAAAACGGGATTTCCTCTTATTGACAAAACACCAGGTGTATAAATTCCCTTCTGAGATCCTGCATGATTAACTGGTCTGCTTTCCATTTAACTGTGGCCTAAAGAACACATATCCAATATAAACAGACTCTCCAAAGATGGAAAATCAAACAACTACTTAAGTCTATCAAAGCAAAGCCAGGAAAGAAAAGAGAGATTGGTTCATGGTGCCTATAAATTTTGATGGTACATCTTCATCCACAGGTTCAGAACTAGAGATAAATCACAGATGAATGTGGCAGTCAAGTGTATTATCTAGCCAAAGTTTTACTAAATGAGCCACAAATGTATTACAATCTTAGTGGATTCTTCAGAGATTATAGATAACAGTGGCGAAGTTACATTGTTAATTTTTATTTAATGATGTGTAATAATGTATGCATCATATGTATAATTTTCATATATTTAATATGTGTAATTAATGTAGTCAGTATAACATGGCTCTTGCTTTGTGGTTGGAAAGATCTAGTTTAGATCCTGTGTGGCAGCTGTTAGCAAGTCTTTGATTCACTTTTTTTTCGTAAAATAATGAGCACACTACAATCAAATGTGAAGTCCTTCTCTCTCTCCTTTCTCTCTCAATGAAATGCAGAGAGCTGTTACAACAATTAGATGAACATTAAATGCCATGATCACCAAGGATCTATTGAATGCAGTCAGTTACGGATTCCTTTCTAACCTGTAGACTGTCTCCTTGGATGTGACTAACCTGTGAATGATGCGCTGGCTCTGCAGGTAGTCCAGGGCCATGGCCAGCTCACAGATGAAGAGCTTCACTGTGTCTTCCTGGAAGTGCACATTCTGCTGCAGATGATAACGCAGATCCCCACCAAGAAGGAGGTCTACCACCATGAACATGTCTTCTTCATCTTGGAAGGAATACCTAGAACAGCATTAGAAAAATAAGGAAATAAGGATAGATGGCTCAGTGAGAAAAATGCTTGTTACTCAAACATGAGGACCAAAGTTTGGAATCCAAGAACCCACAAAAGCCTGGTATGGTGGATTGTGTCTGAATCCTCACCACTGGGGGCCAGAGATGGACAGATCTCAGGGACTCTCTGACCAGACCAGTCAATCTAGAAAAATAATGAACTTCAGGTTCAGTAAGTATCCCTGTCTCAAAAATAAGATGGAGAAGCAATTGAGGAAAGGTATCATGACCCTGATGTCAACCTCTGCCTTCCACATATACCTGCACAAGTGAGTACATCTGCACACAAACACACACACACACACACACACACACACACACACACACTTCTTTTAAGTAATCTTCAATTATACTCACAGGATAGAATCCTAGAGGTAAATAAGACCTTCCAGATCAGGGTGTTCCTGCACTAAGCCCTCAGTCTTGGGGAGTAAGTCAACTATCAGAAGCTCTCTATCATTCAGTTTTCAGATTCCTCATTTGTACAACAATAGGAATAATATCTACCCTAATGATCATAGTGAAGCCCAAATAGGGTATATAGATTCTCTGTCAAGCATGAGATATAATAAGCAGCACCAACTGTACCTTTACATTACTATAAAGCCCAGGAAATAAGAACTTATTTTAGTATCCTAATAATACTGTTACAGGAGGTCCATAAAATATGTTATGAGGCATCCCTGAACCAGTCTCATGCCCATTTTCCATAAGAACAATGTAATTGCCCATTGATATTGCAACAAACCATGTTCCACATTTATAATAAGAAAAAGATAGTAAGGAGGGCACAAAACAAATAAGTAAACAGTACAAAGAAATAACTCAGGCTACAGAGTGGGAGGATACAGAAAGTAGCTCACCGAGGATGAAACCTGAGCTAACATTTGAAGTACAGCAACAATTACTGGAAACTCTGATATTCCTGTTGAGTGGCTTTTGTGGGGAACCTAGGTGGCCCCCAAAAGGCTACTTTCATGCCCCTATTCACAACTGAGAAAATTATGGCATGTGGAAGTTTAAGTGATTTGCATAAACTGAAAAAAAAAAAAAGGGCCGTAGATAGTCAAGGTTTCTCCAGGGACCAAAGTAAAATGTGAACAAGAGTAACAGCAAGTGCTCAAGACCAGACAAGGGAGAGAACCCCATGTGTGGGGGCAGTTCCGCCGCTGGGACAACACATGGGTAGGGAAACCTGAGTCAAGCGAAGAAGGCAGGGCCAGTTCTATGACAGAAGCTTATTTACAAATCTATAGACACTGGGGAGTCAGTGACTGGTGGTAAACCAACTGGATAACCAGATAGGAGCTTCCCATTTGAATGAGCTTGGGGCTGAGGACTGAGCAAGGAAATGAGACTGACATGGGACACAATTTCCAGCAAAAACACACTCCTGCTGTGGGGATCTGTTTATACACACAGACTCTGGTCAAGACATGGACCTGCTGTGAGGATCTGTTTATATGCACAGAGCCTCTAGTCAAGATATGTGCCTGCTGTGGGGATCTGTTTATATGCACAGAGCCTCTAGTCAAGATATGGGCCTGATGTGAGGATCTGTTTATATGCACAGAGCCTCTAGTCAAGATATGTGCCTGCTGTGGGGATCTGTTTATACACACAGAGCCTCTAGTCAAGATATGGGCCTGCTGTGAGGATCTGTTTATACACACAGAGCCTCTAGTCAAGATATGTGCCTGCTGTGGGGATCTGTTTATAAACATAGATCCGTTCCTACTTTAAGGATTTGTTTTTTGTGTTAGAGATTTATTTTCTCATCACTGTAATGTTCCCTGTATCAATACTGTTTTGACGTGTTTTCTTTTTCATAATGTCATTGAGGTCATATTCTGCAGTTTTACTTGCATTAAAGAACTAAGTGCCTGCAAGAGGAAGAGGGGCACATACCAGTTTTCAGTAACAAATTCCCTGCTCAGGAAATAGCTGTAGAATACCAATGACGGACAACTGTACCTAGTACACTTCCTTCTTTACCATCATCATTGCTGTAAAGGAGGAGGAGCGGACTTACAAACAGAAAGGAAGGAGAAACTTAGTGAAGTATTAATCTGGGGGAGGTGACATTCTAATGAAAACCGGCAGTCCCTCATGTTTACTGGTTCAGTGAACTAAATTTCTGATTCACACAGACGATATCAGAAATTAAGCTCTTGGGGAACTGAGACAGAAATGCAGGAAGAGCTTTGTAAAATTTTGAAATACACGTTTGGTATTATTATTTAGGAAATTAAGTTCTTTACCTTGTTGGAATGACTGACTGGCTATGTCTGCTGCAGATTTAATGGGCACCAGGAAAGTTATCAGGTCTAGACACTTTGGTTTGCAATTTTTCCAACTGCGCTAATACAAATTATATTCACTGTGTTCTCTAGGTCTTTCAATAAGAAACCTTGGGCTAGTTAATATGTAATCATACCTGGGATTTGTGCACCTTAGGCTGCTCCTAGCTAGAGTATCAGAAAGAACACTTTCACATGGACTGAGTTGCAGATGGGTTAGGTATATTGAGAGTGAGGGCTGTGAATGAAAAGAAGGAAAAAGATAATACAACCATACCCATTACTAGAATTCAACACAAACACAGCCTATGGAGCAGACCCATGTGATGTTCTGCTATTGGCTGTCTTAAGATCTCAGGTGTTGGCCAGTAACCTGGCAAGATGGGGGTAGGCTTCTCTCTTATTACTACACTAAACTCTAAGTGAAGATATGCCTTATATTAAATTCAACCTGAACAAGTAAACAGTTTTGTTGATTTAAGTAATTTTATTCAAAAAAAAAACTGAAAAAGGTACTAGTCATGACACGTTATAAAGTGTTCCAACATGCATAGGATTAATAATCAAAGAAGAAGGAAAGGCAAGAGGTAACATGCTTCCCCTGGTTAGAAGAAATAGAAATGTATTGAACCATGAAGACAAGACTGTTAAAAACACATCATTTTGTTTAGTTCATCAGGCCTGAACCCTTCTATGTCAGATTCTTAATTAACTCTCACAGGGAAAGAAACAAGCACATTATTTTATAAAGTGATATTTAATTTAAAATATGTGCATAATTTAGTGATATTTAGAATACTTGGGTTGTATTATAATCTGATTTTTAAAATAAAAGGACCTCCCTTGTACCTCAAAGACTTACTACATAGGCTCCATGATGGATTTCTGTAACCTTTATTTACTGTGTCATATTGTGGCATATTTCTTAGCTGGCAGTGCCAAAATTGACAAGTCTGGTGCCAGCACATGTGCAATTCTCTAGAAAGAGAGCTCACTAAAAAAGGAGATTGGCAGCGACTACTAGGCTCCCCTCCCTCTCCCCCCTCTCTCTGATCTCAATTTTCTTAGCAGCAATTTTTAACGTGAATGTTTCTATATTATGCAGCCTCCAGAACTCTTTCCTCTCTTATTCGTGGTGTAAGAACCTATTTGGTCTGGTCCTGTTGTCTTTGCAACTTTATCTTGAGGAGTGTTCGTTCCTTCCTTCCCAATTAGTGCTTCCTGCTCTCTCAATCCTCAGAAGTGTTACATCCCTGCCTGAGCTCACGGTGCTATCACCTAGTTATTTTCTGTTATTCTTAGCCTCAGCTGGTGTCTCTTCTCCCAAAGGGTTTTAGCCACACCATCAGGTCCCTCTGCTACATACAATGCAACTACCTGTTTCTTGAAATTATCATACTTTGGAAATATATTTCTATAAGCTTTCAGATTAGTGTATCTTATTCCTAATATGCTGTTGGAATACAGGTCTGTTTGTTTTTTTCATATCATTGATTCCCCAGTGCCTGCATACTAGCTAAAATGTAGCTTCTATAAATAATTACAGAAAAATCCAGTGAATAAAGAAATTAAAGAAAGGAAGAGGTTAAAGCACAATCTTTGGGTCTGACATGAAGTCCTTAGATTCTACACTTAGAACTTAGCACAGCTGTCAGAAAAGTGCAGAGTCCCTCATATTCTTGCAGTTGTCCCCTGGAAGTGACTCAGGAAATCTAACTCTGAGGGAAAAGACCTAAAGTATTCTTCAATATAAAGCTTTTCAAACTATAATAACAGCCCTTTAATGGATTTTAAAATCAGTGATTTCAAATCACAGTTTGGTTGACTATGACAAACATTTTTGAAAGAAATAAAATTGGTTGAATAACAGCATAAATGTTGTTAGTATATAAGGTTAAATACTATTTGTGAATTTCATAAAGATAGTGTGCCTCTATGGGACTATTGCACTGTAATTGGAAACATATTTTTTGCTATGAATTTTAGCTAAAGAAGCTTGAAGTCATGGGACCAGGTAAACATATCTCATATTGCAAAACAGATGCTCCAAATCCTCACTCAAACCGTACCTGATCATGTCACTTCTGGTATCATCATCTAGCAAAGTAAAGGACAATGTATGCTTAACTTTAAACTCTCTTAGCTTTTGTAGACAAAGATTGATTGATTCATCATGGGCAAAATCAGTTAAAAACACCATCATGGAAAATAAAAGAGGAAAATGCATAGGCTTCAAACAGCCCTGCGCCCCAATGACACCTCATATCACATATGTGAAAATAAGCAAATCTCTTGAAAATTGAAACTCAGGAAGGTATCTTTACATTGGGAATAATTTAATGTACCATGTAGCGAAGGGTAAGTAAATATAATGCTTTCAAAGTGTCCATTGCATGTACCATAGAGGTAATGAATTTAGACCTTGAGCAGCAGGAGAGATGGGTCAGTGGTTAAGAGCACTTACTACTCTACCATAGGAATCAGGTTCAGTTCCCAGCATCTACATGATGGCTAACAATCATCTTTAACTCCAGTTCCAGGGGATCCAATGCCCTCTTCTGGGCTGTGTGGGCATTGCACACATGAGTGCACTTATACACACTCAGGCAAAAAAACTCATACACATAAAATAAAAGTAAATAAATTAAA